TTCAATTGAACTGATAATTTGTTCGAAGTATCGTGTACGTACAGTCCAGCTATGGGTTATCATGCAAGTAGTAATGATTAAGCCGAAAGTTGCACTAACAATAAGCAAAATTACATAACTTGTCGAATTAGAAACGAATATTAAAACGTTTTCACGTTCGTAAAACGTTAAAACGTTCGTATGTTGCGTTTTGTATCATAGAAAGCAATATGTAGGTAAAAACTGTTATAGATATAGGTAAGATATGATTTGATGGACATGAATAGTAATTACTATCAAGGTTATTTTTGTGATTACGTACGATATGAGAGTGCGATCTATGACGCAATATTGACAGGATAATCAGAATTAGAAGTGATGAATTCGATTAATTGAGAGATAGGACTAAGTGGTTTGAGGTTACATTTGAGGAGTTTGACAGGAATGTGTTCGTGACAATATCAGAATCATGGGACTAAAATGTGAACTTACAGGGGTTTCTCTTAGAAGTCTAAATGAATTCAGCTGCTTTTTTTGGTCGGATTGACGCTTCAGCTACGATTTTGCACTGAATCTATTCAAGAGCACTTTATGAATCAATTTCGATAAGACAATCAGCTCGCTCTTTCACAATCAGTTCGAAATCATTTCCAAATGCATATGATAATTATAGTCGGATGATAAGTTTGATTCAAAGATTAAACTAAAAATGTTTCTTCATTTTGGAGCTTTCGTTTATAATATATTCTCGAGGTATATTCTGGATTACGGGTCGTAATTGAAAGCGATTGAAGTTGATATGATATGTTTATCTTGTCACAAAACCTTATCAATCTTCGAAAGATCATTGCACTGAGACTTTATTCAATCGAAGTTTATTACAGCGAACTAATGAAAACTTTTTGCAGGCATGGTTCGACGTACTGTTGGAGTCATTCAGTGTGCCCTTCAGAAACAGCCTGCATAGAATCACAATGCTGTAGAACGAACCGTTAGTTCTTTTTTTCGTTACACTCATTTGTGAATTCATTTCTGAATTCAATTCATCCTATTGCCTTCATTGCCCTCCGTCTTCTGCTAAAACTTTACTCATTCTCCAATATCAACAAACTTCATTACGGATGAAACTTCCATTTTAATACTTCCTTTGCTTAAAATGAACGAATACGTTCACCTGCAAAGTATCATGCTTTATCTGCTCCTAATGTCGCTTCAACTTCAGTGTTGTTAAATCTTCAGTTGAACCCCAACGTTGCGTATTCCATACAATTCTTTTGCCAAGCAATATGACAGATGAGGCACAAATATGGCGAAAACGATGCTAATTATTTCATTCAATCATATTGCTTCTCGCGATTACTATGCGTAGATCGATGTCGAAGTAGCACTATCTCTTATCAGTTTACCATTTGATTTGATCTGATACTTACANCATTTCATTCAATCATATTGTTTTTCGCGATTACTACGCGTAGATCGATGTCGAAGTAGCACTATCTCTTATCAGTTTACCATTTGATTTGATCTGATACTTACAAGCTGCAGAATATCTGCCGTAGGTTCTCAGCGATTCCTGTTATTGACCAGTTCATTGACCACCAGAATCCCCAGATCAAAAGAGATGACTTGCTAGGAATTTCGGTAAATCTGTTGATGGTCTGATTCGTTTGATTAGGTCTGCGTAGATAGAATGAAGTGAGTTATATGGTTAAGTGTGAGTGGGTTAGAGATTGTTGTCATTATAACAGGGGCTAAAAGAGGCAAGACAACGAATTGTACTGAGCTGATTAAGTGGATATCTTTATGGTGTTTATTTACCGATTAATTGCTGATCCGATTTGTTGACATCAACTTCAACAGCAGCAATAATAAATTCACAATGCTAATATTGGATAAGTTCAAAGCACTCAGCAGTTGAAGTTAGAACTAACACATTCACTGTCAACATTTCAGTGAATAATTTTTATTGACAATTACTCACTGAAACATTATAATGAGCAGAATAATAATGAATAGAGAATATCACAGAATTGCTCAAAAAGTTAGAAGGGATCAATATTAGGTGCGAATTGCGATCAGTCTATTTCGATGCATAAATGATTGATCCTAGTTATTGGTTTTAAAAATAAACACGAGGAATCATGACCACAAGATACCCGTCAGAATTCGTTGGAACAGCTTGTGTGTATCAGGCGTAACTCTTGGTTAACAGGACAGATGGATAGATATGAGACAGTTAAGGAGGCAATTGAAGAGTTTTAAGCAGCTTAGAAGCTGGAAGATTTGNCGTCTCAAATGATCTGCTCTAATGATATCTTCTATCAATTGCGAAGGCTTCTCACAAGCTTTCAATATGAGTTTATTTTTGTTTTTATTAACATCACCGTAAGCATTAAATAACACCAGCATTGTCAGCAACACTTTCGTTCAGTTGCGAAAATGCATTCTGATTTCACAGAGATTTTGTTTTGCTTTCAAAGAACTCTTACGTTTCACAATTAATGTAATATGTCCGCTGTCCATGTGAAAATCTTTGAGTTTCATTTTCGTCAGTGCAAATGGTGATTTTGTATGCGTCGTACAATTTGTTTCGATGTTCACCGAATTGTCAACGGACTTTTTTATTTGCTTATTAAATTGTTCATTTTTTTGTTGAAATATGTTAATTGTTTACTAATTCGTTGATTGTTCACCACAATCTATATGTGTGTTTATTGTTTTGTTTTTAACATTTTAGTTCTTCACACACTACGTAAATGTCCAACATCGAATTGGGAATGCGGTGACGGTAAATGTCTTCCGATCGAGGCACGATGCGACGGTGAAACACAATGCGAAGATGAAAGCGACGAGATGCACTGCGGTAAGTCGGTGGTTAATTTCAGACTTTTTCGTGGTCTTCGTTGGTTTTGCTG